CTGGTTGTCCTCATCAACACGGCGCTAGCCAGGACCCAGCCAGTATGCTGACACAGCTCCCCAATTTCCTTTCCTCTGCTTCATTTCCTTTTCAAATTGAAAACTATTAGGAGTCTTTAGGCAAATAATAGAAACCTAATGCAGGTGCCTGTTATAAATCATTCACTAGTTACTTTTAACCTAATGTCTCCTCAAACATTACTTCACAGAAGGCAGTGAGAGAAAGAAATGCCTCATGAACTCTAACAATCAGTGGGTCAGGAGTTGAGGTCATAATAATGTAGCCCATTTCTTCTTGTTTGTCAAATGACCTGAACACAATTAGATCCCTGGGTCTTTCTTCTGAGATAGGCTCCTCTCAGTAATAACAGGGGTCTTGCTAAGGGCAATCCTCGTCTAATCGTAGATCCTAGATCTATAGATGCCTGCTGCACACCCACAAGCAGGGAATGTGGCACATGGCTGCTGGCGCCACGTTAGCGCTAGTTTAGGATTTTGCTACAGCCAACACTATAGCTTTCCTAGGCACAGCTTGACGATGTGCTCTGTCTAGATCTGCCCTATGTCTGAGGTTGAATTAATCAATGTTTAGGAGGTAGCTTGACATTCGCAAATAGAACTTACTTGAGAAATTTGAAGTATTCGGCAGGCAAAATAAAATAGAAAGTAAAAATTCATTACAAGAGTTAGTAATGACTGGTGTTTATGCAAAATAGACAAATGTACAGAAATGCCTATTAATTCCAAATCAGTGAAGCAAGTCACTAGGCTCAAAAGTTTAAAATGCTGCCTAAAATGCCAATGTGATCAGTCAGTGTTAAAATTTGCCTTCATCAGCTAGGCACCACGTGTTTTATTCTCAGAGACAAATGCCTCCTGTTCTCTGGAGATAATATCAAGCATTTCACAGGGGATAAAGCTCCAACTCTATGTATGTACAAAACAAGTCATGCAAGAGGGCACTCTGCTAGCATATGTGATCCTGAACACTTTGGGCAACTGTCAGATTGTTGGAAGTATTTCCCATCATGCTGGGTGCCCTCATATACAGCATTGAATGGTGCTACATTGGTCACAGATCACTTTCCCCATGTGGCTCCCCAGTGAGGTGTAAATATTTCAGAGCTAATGCATAAGTCATGTACACCTGTGTTTCTGAGTGCAGTAGCAGTGAGACATAACTCTTGGGTATTTCTGAGCGGGGAGGAACATGGATTATCTCCTGTCATTGCAAATGGAAAACATGGAGATTTTTAATGTTAACACTCATACTGGTTCGGCAAATTCTTGGAAACGATTGCCTTCAGCCCCAGGCAACATCTAAGTGATGTTCTGCAAACATGCGCACCTTGCCAGGACTTGCAGATACCCCAGGCTGTGTCCACATGTGACTAACTACTGGGGCCCCGTATCACTGAAAGTCAATATATGGAACTAATTCACCCAAAAATGAGCACCTCAAGAATGCTTGCTATTACTGTGTGTGTGGGCATTGTGGTAGCAAACAATGTCAGAGGGATTCGTATTATTGCTGCATCAATAGGTGTTGGGTGCCTTTGTGTTTCGTTTGTGACAAATCCAAGTCCTCTCTGAATATCCTGAATGCATTCATCATCTTACACTCATACTAGAGGAGAGAAAGAGTTAAGCTTATTTACAAACAAAATGTTTGAAATAATAAAAGTCATCACACCATGCACTGGACTGATGGGGAGGGGCTAGGAAGATATAGCTCCTGGGGAGCAGGAGAGCTGGATGGCTTCCCCAGATGGTTTGCTCTGTATTTGCAGAGCCTGGTGCTTTGACTGTGAAGTGAATGAGGAGATGGAGAGGCACGTTAGGTGTATGCTAATGTAAGAAGGAAGCTGTCGGTCTCACTGCCCTGAGAGGGAATACTAGCAAAGGTCCTCAGGTGCAGGCAGAGAGGATCACGGATTTCCAAATAAGGGACTTGCCTCCAGGTGTACCTCTCCTGCACTGAGGAAAATAAGATTCTGTTTAAACTAGCAAATAAACAAAATAGAACCAAAAAGTAGCTGATCTTTATCATGGACCTTCCAAGCAAGGAAAATACTATACACTGTTCAGGAAAATATACACTACTTTTTTGAGTGGGACTGAAGCACCTCTGCTGCAGGCTGTGACTCATAAAACATTTGGTGTTAGCCCCTGTGAAAAACACTGTTAATTGATGGACCCGTGTCTGACCTAAGATATGTATTATTTTTCTCATTAAAGCAGTGATCCCAGAATAAAGTGACACCAAAGTAGAGGACAGAGAATAAACACCTTTCTTTGAGGGGAAGGAGTGATTTGTCCAGCTCAACTTTTTATCTAGTAATAAAACTGGAATAAACACAAGTGCTTTGTGCATTTATCCACTGCATTCAGAAAACAGTAACGAGTGGTGGCCCTCAGGGATCACTGTTGGGACCGGTATTGTTCAACATCTTTGTCGCTGACATGGACAGTGGGATAGAGTGCACCCTCAGCAAGTTTGCCGATGACACCAAGCTGTGTGGTTCAGTTGATACGCTGGAGGGAAGGAATGCCATCCAGAGGGACCTCGACACGCTTGTGAGGTGGGCTGATGCCAACCTCATGAAGTTTAACCATGCCAAGTGCCAGGTCCTACACCTGGGTCGGGGCAATCCCAGGCACAGCTACAGGTTGGGCAGAGAAGAGATTCAGAGCAGCCCTGTGGAGAAGGACTTGGGGATGTTGGTCAATGGGAAAATGAACATGAGCTGGCTTCAGTGTGCGCTCGCAGCCCAGAAAGCCAACCGTATCCTGGGCTGCATCAAAAGGAGCATGGCCAGAAGGTCGAAGGAGGTGATCCTGCCCCTCCACTCTGCTCTTGTAAGTCCTCACCTGGAGTATTGTGTGCAGTTCTGGTGTCCTCAACATAAAAAGGACATGGAACTGTTGGAACAAGTCCAGAGGAGGGCCACGAGGATGATCAGGGGACTGGAGCACCTCCCGTATGAAGACAGGCTGAGAAAGTTGGGGCTGTTCAGCCTGGAGAAGAGAAGGCTGTGTGGAGGCCTCATAGCAGCTTTCCAGTATCTGAAGGGGGCCTATAAGGATGCTGGGGAGGGACTCTTCATTAAGGTCTTTAATGATAGGACAAGGGGTAACGGTTTAAATCTTACACAGGGGAAGTTTGGATATAAGGAAGAAGCTCTTTACCGTAAGGGTAGTGAGGCACTGGAATGGGTTGCCCAAGGAAGTTGTGAATGCTCCATCCCTGGCAGTGTTCAAGACCAGGTTGGACAGAGCCTTGGGTGACATGGCTTAGTGTGAGGTGTCCCTGCCCATGGCAGGGGGGTTGGAACTGTATGGTCTTGAGGTCTGTTCCAACCCTAACTATCCTATGATTCTATGATTCTCCCATGTGCTCCCATCTTCACTTCATGGGTTTTCTAGATTCTTTTGTTTAATCAGTACTCCCAAACACTCTTTTAGGGCCACATTTATAGTAAAAAATAGAGATAAAGCTTCCGGCACAGGCATACAGTGATGTGTACTTTGTCACTAGTACCAATAACACCTTCTTTATGAAGCTGTCACAACTAGTCGTTCAGGTACAATTAACTGAATTTTTCACAGTATTTATACCTCTCCTACCAATGTCACAATGCTGCAATGCCACAGTACCACTAAACCTTTCAGACTACTGATATAGATATCATATTTGTCTAGGCATGAGAAAATTTTGGTATCATTTGCTATTATATACATTAAGCATAGCAACAGTGCTATACCATGTCATCCACTACTAGTCCCGGTGCTTTGCAAAGATTATGAAGTATTATTGGTCCTATTTACTAACTGGGGCATCACTGCAGCACCAGCCATTTATGTTTAAAATATAGTTTCCTTCTCCATTCAGTTGTTTTCTTATATCACACCAGTGGATCTTATGCAAGAACATGGCCCCAGCCATCGTGCTTCCAAACCAGAAAGTCTCTGCACTGTTTTTTTTTCTTACAATCAGTAGCTTTCATCTTAAGAAAAAAAAATAATATTGCTTCCTCTATAAAATAATTCCTAAAGCTTTTCAACAGCCAAAGTAACATCATAGAAACTGCATCACCATGGCCCATGGTGTACTTACAGCCTCAGGCCTGTCTTTGTCACTGGCTGGTCAGACTTTGAGGGCTTGATTCACTTGCTTGAACATGGGCATCTATTTCCAGTGAGTCACTTTGTAGGTTTACATGTAAGATGCATGGGGAGGGGGCAGAACCTTATGGACACTCCTACTTCCCTGGAGCAGCAGCCAGAGGTTAGGCAGTGATACTGCATGGGCACAGCCATGCTAACCCCTGCAGAATCCTAGAAAGCACTATCTTGACCAAGAAAGGCATGACTTTCAATTGCCATCACGATTATCTGGAGAAACAATGGAGGAACAGAACTGGTGTCAGTGATGAATACTACGTCCCTGAGGCCACAGTGGAAAAGGCACTGATGTAGCTGCTCTTGGAGAAACAAAAACGAAACTGGATTGAAAGTCAGATCTGTTTTTTCCCTGAGATTTTTAACGAGTAGCTCCAGAAGTGTTACTTGCATTTGATTTAGCACTTATAGTGCAACAGCAATGAAACCTAGCATTACAGGGAGTGTGTGTTCCCAGACCAGAAAATGTCTTCAACAGCTCATAAAAACCTGGCCATTTATCAGCACTGCAGGAGATCTTTATTCCCTCCCTACAGCATATGCTCTCCTATGATGTAGTTATTGATTTAACCAGTAAACTTCATAGCAAGCTTTTATCTTGGAATTAGCAGCAAGACTGAAATAGAGCCCTTATTATTCTAATAACAGAGAGATATGAGATTCCTGCATATTCCAGAGACCATATCATCACCTTAACAAGCATCCCATTAGAGCTGCCTGGGCAGACATAACAAAGCGTGGCCTGTGAGAACTTTAACAATCATGATATCATACTCACCCCTGGCAATATCACAACCCTTTTGTTTTTCTTCCTACAGGTTTGGACATCAGGCAAGCTCAGGTTATTGTGCTGTCATCTGGTACCAAATGTATAAATGGAGAATACATTAATGATCAAGGGCTTGCGGTCAATGACTGCCATGCAGAAATTTTGGCAAGAAGGGCATTTGTTCACTTCCTCTACTCACAGCTGGAGCTACACCTAAGGTAACTGAATTCTTTTAATGCTTGGGGAATGTTATACAGCTTTCAGTGGAGCAGATCCATCCTCCAGACATATGAACTATTTCTTTCTTTATGTTGCTTTTTCCAAGTCTTTAGCTGACAAAACGCCAGTACAGTGCACAGAAAGAATGAGAGTTAGATAGTCTAGAGTGTTGGGTCATGAGCTCCTTTACTTCAGCTGGTGTTCTTTCAGCAGCTATTAGATATGACTCATAAAGTTGGGGTTTATGAAGCCTGATGATTTTGTACAAATCTTTACGTGCAGGCTTATTAGCATCATTTTTTGGCCAGAGACTGGAAGGGGGTCATTTTGCTCACTGCAGCCATTTTCCCATCTTCCTTGCTGCTGCTGAAATATCTCAAGGAAGTGATTTATTGATCATTAATGCCTTCATTGACTCACTAGAGAACCAAGGAGTGTTAACAGTACAGTAAACTTTGTGACAAAGTGTAAGATGCTATCACTCACTCCTTCTTTACGATGTTTTAAAATGTTATAGCACATAGAATCATTACAGAGGAATTACTGGTCGTGTCTTCAGCCAAATCCACACTATTACCATTTAAATGGTTAATGGGTCATACACTGCCTGGAAGCTGGTAGTAAGTGTGGTACCACAGGGGTCTATCCAGGGACCTCGCTAATCATGTCTGTCAACAACCTGGAAAAGGCTATGTAGTGCTGAATCATAAGCTTTCCAGAGGACACCAAATGGTGGAGAGGACCAGGCGATATGCTTGAGGGCTGGAATGTCATCCAGGCAGGCTGGAGGACTGGGGCAGCAGGAGCTTTGACAGAAAACTCAACAAGGACAAATGGAAAGTCCCACACTGAGAAGAAAAGAATGGCCTACAAAAACACAGGACAGATAGATCCTTTCTGGCTGGAGGGCAGGTTTCCTGAAAAGGGACAAGGCTCCTAGGCAGACAGCAAACTGAACGTGAGATAGTGATGTGCCTGGCAGCAAAGAGGGTCTACAGGATCATGGGCTCTATGAAGGCAGTCAATGGATGGGATCATCCCCGCTACTCAGAATGCATTAGACTGCATCTACAATACCTTGTGCAGTTTTGGGTCCCCCAGTACAGGAAAGACATCAGCCATGTAAAGCAGGTTCAGCAGAGGCTACTTGGTTGCTCAGTAGCTAGAGATTTGGCCTGAGATCTTAACAACACAAAGGAGCTGGCATCTTTACCCAGGTGCACAGTGGGAAGAAGACAAACAGGCATGCACTGAAACAAGAGAATATTAGGACTAACTGTCCCCATAGGAACAGGCAAGCAGTGAGTCAGGTCACCCAGCAGTCTTGTGCAGACTCCCTCCTGTCTTGGACGTTTTCAAAACCTGAGCAGATAAAGCCCTGAGCAACCTGGCAAACAGCTTTGAGCAGGAGGTTGGGCTAGAGACCTCAGGTCCTTTCCAGCCTGGATTACTTTATAATCCTATGAAAACTGAGCAGAAGTGAAGCTAAGCCAGCATTTATTGTATGGAAGGAACCGAGGAATGAAGGAAGCAAGGAAAGAAAACAAACAAAAAGCCCCTTGACTATAGGTCATTCTTCTGCCCTTCATTCTTGCTTGTGTTTTCATACGATTTTATCTAACCTCAGTGCAAAAACTCCCTTTGACTTCAGAAGGTTTTGCATCAGGTCACAGACACAAGAATCCATCTGAGTAGAATTGTGTGTTCTTGTGAGCACCTATGATACTGTTGCACCGAAACAACAATAATGGGAATAATGATTATTTTCACTTCAGGCTGGAGTTAAAGACAAGAGAGTATATTGAGTACATGAGGTTGGCTAACAAAGGGGGGCAAAAGCCTTGAAGGGTTTAATCAAAACCAATATTCTCTCTATTTATTTCAATCTGAACTGCTTTCAAGCTTACATTAAATTATTATGTTTTCAGCAGTGTAGCAGCCCTAGTACTTGCTTTGTGCTACAGTCTCTTGGGAAACAAGTGCTACCACTGTGTCTTAAACTATTGTATTGATCCACCTCCCTAACATGTTCAGTCATATTATTATTTTATTTGGATCAATGTTAACAATCTTTTGTTAAGAGAATCCTCAGTGCAGCACAAGCTGTGTTCACAATAACTTTAAATCTCTCTCTGTTCAGCCAAGAGCAGGCACCACTGCTTCCCTGACCAGCACACGACAAAAACCTCAACCAGGCTAAGCACCTTTGAAAGAGAGAGCTATTGTCAGATAAGATTTTACTTCTTTAAGGTCCATGGGGAAGCAAAACTATGTGTTATAATATATTCTTTAATTCTAATATTCATTGCTAAACCCAGTTTTATGCCATCATCAGGGCTTTGTCATATGGCAAGAACATGGGGCATGAAATGAAAAATTTATTTTCTTTGCATTGAAGTCACATTTACCCCTTTTTCTCTAACAAAACAGAAACAACTGCCACTGACACAGGAATCACATGGTGCTACCACATAGCAAAAAGAACGGGGTTTTTAGAACAGTCTTGTTTACTCAGCTCCACTGGGACTCCCTGCACACAAGCTCCTCAGGCTTGGGGGAAACACAAATGTGGCTTCTACATTGCTATGCATTTGCATTAACCCGGCCCAAATTAAAGTCTTCTCCCAGGCCAGGAACCTATTGTACAAAGTCATATATGAACTGACAGCAGAAAGATGGTTCCTTAACCCCCCAAAAGAATGAATGCATATTTCTTGCCTCAAAGAGCTTATATTTTTCATTCTTTCCTATGAAACAGGCAAGTTTGTTTTGTCGAGAACATTCCCTATTTTCCATGTATTTTCCTCTCACCAACCCTACGTGCTCAAAGTGATCTCTGCAGCTGGATTTCAAACTTCAGGAGCTTCCAGCACAAGAATTATCTTTCTATATGATATTTTCCTTGAACAGGGACCACTTTTCCAGAATTTTCAAGTACTACTATTGACATCAGTGAAAGCAAAATAGAATGAATGCATCAAAGAGCAGGGACAATGAGGCTGGAGAAAGCAAGGACCAGCACAGAGTATTAATAGCCAGGAGATACGAATTCACAGAGTTGAATTTACTTTTTGACACTTCTGATGTCCAAAAGTTAGTCAGCTGAGTGTGAACCAGATCCCCAAGGCTCCTTTTATCACCACTGGAGAGAGATGGGCATCTCAGGAGTGAGACACAGCAGTCCTATTCAGGTATCTATTGTGGGTGAGAGGAATTGCCATGGAGCAAATTTTCCGTAAACAGAGCGTAGGGTGACCGCTTCAGATATTTAAATTGTAAAACAATGCCAACCACAAACCAGAGCTGCAGAAATATGTAAATTACCTTTTTTCCCCCGTCTCTTCATACTGCTCAGTGTTGACAGTGTAACTTTCCTGACTTTCCTTGGGAAAGAGAGCTCCAGAATGGGAACTTTATCCTCTCTAAGAAACAAGAGTGACAAATACTTCAAAAGGAAACTTTCTTTCAAAATTTGTCTAAAGCTTGAGTTAAATAAGAGCTAAAAGCACAACTAAAGCCTGACAGCCTCTAACCAGTCTGATTAAATCCCTTAGCCCTCTTAGATTTCCTTTTTATGACAACCATAATCCTCCACTTCTCAAGACTTTCACGAAAAAGATGAAAAGTAAGACGTAAATTTTGTGATGTACAGAAGAAAGACAAGAAAGACCTTTTGAGAAGCTTTTCTAAAAATTGCCATCAAAAAGTACACAAATACCATAGTCTGATTCTCTTGCAATGATAGCAGTAAAATTCACATTGATTTCTGTGAGATTATTTATACCAGCTGGCCAATAGCGAAGAAAAGAAAATCCAACTCTTCTATTTTAAACAAAATTAAAACTAATAACCTGTTCTTAAAATAAATCAGCGCCACAGCAGTCTTGCTGCTGTAGTGGCCCTGCAGGTGCTGGAGGGATGATTTTACCAGAAGCTAAGTTCTTCCAGTGAGTCAGATGCAAACCACTATTTATTTTATACACAAAAAGCAAGGAATAGTCTTTCTCCAATCCAGTTAAGTTCTTTTCCAGGAAAACTAGCTGTGTGTTATACATCTATTTCTTACTTCTGTCCTACTTTTAGTGGACACAGCTCCTCTCCATTTAAGCCTGCTGTTAAGATGCCATGCGGTAGCATGTAGTGTACTAGAGACTTCCCATCTGTATGTTTACTAAAACCAGCTTCCCTGCTTGTCTTTTCAAGAGCGAGGCCTGGTTTCAGCAAAACATTCTGTATATATTAAACCATAAGTACGTACTTAAGTATCTTCTTGAAATCAGCTCAAAACTTATGTGTGTGTTATGCTAAGTAATGAATTTAAGCTCAAGATTAAAATTTAGCACATTCTTAGATGTTCCTTTTGAATCAGCCTCAAATCTTGACTCTCCCACTGACAGCCATAGCGGGAAACATTTAGAGACAAATTTTGGTCTTTTAGCTACTGCCAGCACATGAAAATGACACTTTAACACCACCCCCTGAATGAATGACATTTGTGGGCTCACTGTGGGCTTCCCCATTGCTTTATGTAGTGTATGGCTGTGCAAAATGGCAATGCAAAGTTCTGCTACTGCAAACTCATTCTCCTCCTCACCGCTCAAAATGACGGTTCCCAAGGGAAGGCAGAGGTGTACTGGTGCTATGGGGGAGAAGTGGCTTTGCAGAAGCATGCTCCACCTGAACCATTTTTACAAGGTTTCTGGGTCTCCCTGGGCTTTGAAATCCCCCAAGCATCCCATGCACAAGAATCTCTCCTAAGCCACAGCATACAGTATTGCATTTCAAACTCTTTCATAACAATACTCTCAGAGTTTTGTTATTAAATTTATTCAGCCACTGTGCAGGAATGAATCTCATGTTCAGCCCCCAGGAAACCTCCCAAAGGCAGGTCAGGATCATATGTGATACAGAGGATCTCAGTCTCCCGGAGAAAGAGCCAAGCTGCCTTACCCTCCAGCCCTGCCATCTATTTTTAGAGCAGCTGTCAATCACCAAACCTATCAGCCACACTGGCCACAGACCCTTCTTGGTACTCGGGGTAAGAGAGCAGGGTTAATCAGTGAAAAACAATAACCAGTAAAAACAGGATGGGTGCTGGTTACCGTGAACTCCTTAAATCCAGCCCAAAGAATGATTGCTCCTACACTACATAGCAACTGTTTCTAAGTACTGCAAGCTGCCCCCCACTCTGGTGAGGTTTAGCATAAGAATAGGAGGCAACAGGGCTGCACTGTATTCTCCCAGCTGAATTTGCAGTGAATTATTTAACACTAACTGCAATTGCTCTGAAGTCCAAGCAGCAGGACTTACAGGTATTTTATTATTTCAGAAGCTTGGATCAGGGCGATAATATAATTAGCGCAGTTGGGAAATTCCACCGCAGACAGCAGAAAATGAAGGAGCTGCATGTGGCAGCCCCAGCTCGGCAGCCGGTGTGCCTCCCTGTCCCTGACAGCCGAGCTAATGTGCCTGTAAATTCCTCCTGACAGCAAACGCATCCTGGCATCAAAAAATGACAAAACACCCAAACCACGGAAGAGTGACAGCCAAACAGCTTCAATAGCACAGAGGCTGCACCAGGAGAAAACAGGCAGAAGCAGCTTGGACTAAAGCCAGGGACTTGCTCTGAGGCTGAGTAAAAAGCACCCCTGTTTACACTAACAGGAGGCAGAGAAACCAGCAGAAACCGCCTCGGTTAATGGGCTGTCCTATAGTGAATTAAATGGGTAGAATTCTGGCCTCTTAAGACCCTCCTAGGAAAATCATTACCTGCAGGTGTCATTCTGCTCAGAGATATTCCCACAAAAAGACCCTTGAGTTTTTGAGGGAAACACTGAGGCATCAGACGGAAAGAAGTCTCATCATAATTTCACTAATCACATTTTCACCTTCAAAATTATAATCACGGCCATCACCCAAATGTATGTATTAGAGGCAGCTGTCTGTCAGAGAAATCACCCATGTCTTCCCAAGTGTAAATCATCTGAAGAACCACACGGCAAGCATAGCCTTAATGTGAGCTATTGCTGTAAACTGCAGGACTGGGAGGGTTTGGCCTCCCGGGCAGCTGTTGCTAATGGAATGTGTGCGCTGTGTCCCCATCGAGCTACTGAACCATTGCGAAGATAAAAGCTCCATCTTAGTAAGTATCTTTTTCAACTGAGCTGAGAAAAGGCTGCACAAGTTTTGTCTCACTGTTCTCAGGATGGGTTCCAATTTCCAGAAATCCAAGTGGCCAAGAGGACATTGCTGGCTTAGATAGAGCACTCATAGGTGGCTTGGGTTGAATGGGGAAATAAGCAACACCTGGGGAGCTGGGGGGATCACAGGGGTTATAAAATCTAGCTTCTTCATTAGAGGCCCTTTCCAGTGGAGCATAGAAACACTCATCTTGGCTGCAGTGATGTTAATGGGATTTAAACACATGCCTAGGCATTGTGATGAGCAGAGCTGATTTACTCATATGAGCACCAAAGAGAACTTTTCCTTTTTTCACGTGCCAGGACCTCTTTAAAATCAAAGTGTTTATGCATCTGTGCATGTAAGGAAAGAGAGCTACCCTTCAGAAATCCACACGTTTTATCATTAGAATATATTGTAGGTAAGCAAGCCAAAAACACTTTGGCAGTTTTGACCCCATCCACCTATTTCTTCACTTGCAGAAGCTCGTTGTTTCCTCTTGTTGTCCCTAGGAGTAATATATGATGCCAGCTGCTAATAGAAACAAACAGAGGAGGAAAAACAGAGAAAGAGAGCAGAAATGTTTCTGATTTGGTGTGTAAAAAATGACCTGGAACCTCTTTTGTGATCATAGCAAACGACGAGAAGACTGGGAGCGATCAATCTTCGTACGATTAAAAGAGGGAGGCTACAGGCTGCGGGAGAACATCCTGTTCCATCTGTATGTGAGCACTTCACCCTGTGGAGATGCGCGCCTCAACTCCCCCTATGAAATCACAACTGACTGTAAGAAAAAAATCTTACCTCTCCTTATTCCCTTTTGCATAGGTTTTTCTTTTTCTATGATGAGCCCTTGTCTCTTTATTTGCTTGCAGAAAGTGTTTCACTTAAAAGTAGAAAACACTACAGGCTGTGTGGTGTGTGTGTGTGTGTGTGTCTGTGTAACTGCTGCTCAGTCTCATGTGCTGGTGGAAGGTGTGCTGGGAAAATCAGAGCTGGGCAAGGCCGTGGGAGACTGCTTCATGTGCCTCTGATAAGAAATATAGCCCAAATATCCTGCTTTTCCTGCTAGGAAATGCAAGCCCAGCAGTAAATAAATGCTTTGGTAAGGGTCCTCATGACCAAAGAAGCCACAGCAATGGGATGGACCAGAGGATCAGGACTCTAGCTGGGGATGCAGACTTTTCTCAGGGTTCAGGCAGTGTGTACAGGTTGAAGGGCTGCATTTACACTAAATCTGAGCTGTCCAGGCTGCAGCAGCTGGAGTCTGAAGTAGAGCAATGATATGGTATATAATATTTGTACTGTTGATTGAAGGTCAGGCTCTCTCCAAATACCACCTGCCCTTGCAGTGAATAACGTTAAGATCCTTCTGGAAAGGATCCTTCCTAGGCCATCCTGCCTATGTCAAATCAACTGCATTGCCATTGCATGGCAAAAGGGCTAGATGGAGTCCACAAGGCCAGCCTTGGAGGCCTTGGGCATTTAAGCAGAAACATGGTTTTCCAGGGATTTCTTCTCTGGAGGTGATTCTGCAAGTGAGGTAAACAAATCAGGTCTTGAGCCTCTGTGTGCCATCAGCAGAGCTGCAGAGCTTGTTGTTCATGAAGAGACACCCCATCTCCATCGTCATGACCCAGCACTCCTATCTCATCACCCCACCCCAGACTTGCATGTCTGTGTTACTGCCCTGCCATCGCAGAGACATGTCCTTGTTGGGTTCTCACTGCACCAGCTTTGCCCTTGCCTAGCCACAGCAAATGCGCCCAGCAAGAGACAGGGGACTCAAGAGGTCTAGGGCTCGTTATCACATGTGCCCGACACCCCATAATCCAATGCACGATGCAGAAGGTTGCACTCTTATCTCTGCCCCTAGGTATTGCTTCTCATACCTGCATTTTACAGTGCCACAATACCCATAGTGCTGGCTGCTAAATGTACATATAATGAGAAATAGTCCTTGCCCTACCTTGAATATGAAGCAGGCAAGACAGTAGAATGGATGGAAGAGGAAGCATAGACACAGGAATGTAAAATTAATCATCCAAGGTCACACAATGACCTAACTTCCTCACAGGCAAATCTATCAGGTGGTAGGTTCACTCCTGGTTCTTATTTGTGCAAGTTATTTATTAATGATTAGGTATTACTCTCCCCAGACTTCAATCTTTTTGTTGTGGGTGAAACAGTAGCTTGCTGGGGAAAGAAAGCAGAATGCACCTAATCAGGAAGGAAATACACTTCCTTATCTGGTATGATTTCTACATTCTACTAGCAGTGTTTATAAAATGGAGGAAAGCAAGTAAGTGTTTAAAAGGCAAACAGCAAATTGTCAAATTCCTGGTAGCAAAATAAGGACACATATTATCTTAAAAACAAAATTAAAAATAAATAGGTGCCGAAGAATATCAAAACCAAAGAGATTTTTGCCCTCCCACTTTATGTGTGTATTGAAGCATATCTAAAAAGGCTTTATGTTTGGTTAAAGGCGCTCATGTTTTCCAGAAGGCAGGCTGCCTGGGGCACCCCTTACCTGACATGTGAAGTGGAAGCAACAAAATCTGTAATTACTTTTAAAATGCGGTCCATTCTCAAGAACAACCGAAAGCTGTCCTGGGTGGATTCTACATCCATGAATCAGAAAGTGGGTGCTTTGGGCAGCTGACAGCCAGCACTATTGATATGAACCCAGCCCTGGAGGTAACTCTGCTTGTCTCATGGATTGCTTCAGAAAGCACATACATCTACCAGGTAATGCAGGAATGCTTCTTTACATAACAGGACATGCAGGAAGCTGTGTTTAAAAATATGTAATCAAGCAACACCTGACACATACAGTAAATTTATAGTTAGTCATATAAATCCCTTTCACTTTGGTTATTACACCAATTACTGTCCCAGTGCAGAAGCTAGGGTAGATAGGGCTGTGTGGCTAAACCAAGGTTACACAGTGATTCAGCAGAAGGGCTTAAAGGGGCACTACATCTGGTTTGCAATTCAGTCTTTTACCCTGATCTCTCTACCTTTGTCCTGTGCTCTTAAAATAATTTAGCACTGTGTAAAAAGATGTGTTGCCAAAAGCTGTCCTTCAGCAAGATAAGCATTTCCTTTCAGCTCACATTATCCCAGAGACATCTGGGAAGATAAGTATTTTATAATGTTTATCACTGAGATCTTCTCTTTTCTTTTTTTTTTTTTTACCAAAGAAATAACCTTTCTTTCATCCAGTAATGACAAGAAACTCCAGGTGAATGCTGTTTCATTTCTTAAACAACAAAGATGCCTCTCCTAGAGCTAGCGTAAGCCACCAAATGTTACTGATTATTCTCTAAAGATGCATTAACATTTAAAAACAGTGTCTCACCATGTGGTTTCTGGCTTTGCAAAGGAATATGATAAGCCTTTATCAATACAGGGAGTAAGCAAAATCCACTTCTCAAATCTCCTTCCAAAAATTTCCTATTATCCACCGTGTCTTCCTAGCACCCTCAGGGAGGCCTCACATTTCCTTCTTATGAGCTTTGTTCTGTTAAGGGAGATAAGCTACCATGCACTTGAAACCTAGTTTACTTCTTACTGGATAGTGCAGCGCACCAAGTTAGCAATATGTGTAAAAGTCTGACCTTACCGTGTTCCATGTGGGCAGCTGCAATGCAGAGGAGCAATCCAGGAAGCCCGCACCCATGCCAGTTTCATCAGGAAAGTAAGAGATTAGCTACAGAAATATAAAATCTCACTTTGATTTGCAATGGTGCCCTTTTTGGATCAGGGCGAGCTGACTTGTCTTGTTTATACATCCTTAGGCAGCTCTAAAAGAGAAGCAAAATCCAGCTGGACCAGGGCTACTTTGAGCATGGAAGGGTTTTCTAACTCTTTCTTGGTACCTATAGGGCAGAAGGTTGGAAAAGCTTATGAGGGGGTTCAAGTGAAGTTGAAGGTTTAGGAGAGGCAGGTACAATCCAAAAGAGTAAAGGAGGAGGCTGAGAGGAGAGGTGCAGGAACAGGTGACAGCAGGAGAGGAGGCCAGCCAGGGTCAGTGGTGTTGCAAAAGAGGCTGGGAAATACCGGAGGGGTTTCAGACTGCTGTAAGAATTCTTATGGGTTTGTCCTGGCTCACTCTCTCCAGCCAGTCTCCTTCCCAAGACTCTTTTAGTCATTTTCCGAGGTTACCCACAAGGTTGTAGCACAGCTATATGGTGAAGAGGCAGAACGTTTCCAGTGTCCTCACAACTCTAATTGCTTCTTTGTATGCTCATTTTCTGCCCCTTCTTCAGTTCAATAGGTCAAGGAGCCTGGGACAACATCTCCTTTTCTGGTACCTTCTCCCTTTGTGTAAATCCAAGCAAAATATGCCTGGATTTCTGATTTCACCAAAGGGCAGTATCCCAGCACCAAGTTACATGGGCTTTCCTGAAGGTTTTAAGGGGGCTGATGTTTCTCTTGTGTATGCTTCAGCTCATGAGGTAGAGCCATAGGGGCTCTGTACTATTTGTTCTGTATTTTACACCTTCTGAATCTAGGGCAAACCATGGAGTAATCAAGCTCTTGCTTTCCTAAAGTGCTTTCCTAGCTAATTTAGGGCTTCTTGACTCATTGGCACTTTTTTAAGAGTCTCTTGAAAAGCAAAATGAAGTGCTTAAAAAAAATGAGTTAGCAAATCCTCTGCTTCCCCACTCCTATTTCCCTGGTAGGATTTTCCCTCATTGTCCGCCTTTCTTCTAGAGATGCTCTCTTTTTCAGTACATGGATTGCCAAAGAGACAAACAATCTGCCCCAGGGCTTGTCTCTATTCGTCTCCCCTGGGCTGCTTTTCTATCTCTTGCTAACACGCTGTATTGCCTTGTACCAATGACTCCTTGATAGCCCAGCTCCTGTTTTATCCCATGCTCCCTTTAGGTCTGAAACACACCATTGCATCTGCTCCACATGGGGTCTTCCTCCTGCTTGTCTATTAACCTACAGCTGTGCTGAAGCTCTCATGCACACACATTTGACAGAGCTCTCCTCTAGACAGGATCCACTTGCAACCACGTGAGCTGGATCATTGCCTTGGTAGGTGATGTGATGGGGAGATGTGTAGTGCAGTTTTCAGAGAAGCTGGGTAACTGAATAGTATCCGGACAGACAAGTTTGCCCTGTCTACTTCAAGTGTGCTTTCACTGTGTGAACCTGTGCTTTCCCTGCTTGTTACTCTGGCTGCTGGATTTTAGATCCCATTCTCAGATAAAATGCTCTCTGATAACCCCCAAATCCGGGGCTGTCTCAAAGGGTGGCCCTGCTCACACTGGAGACAGCCTTTTGTGTTCAGCTGGGGCTGATCCAGACTGCATCAGTATATGATCTCCAAATTAGAGTCCCTGAAAGTTGTATCCTGAGCAGGCTGGCTGGAGAGAGCCAAATTCAAACACAGGTGGTTTAAGGAGCTTGTCCATCTCCAAGAGACGGACACAAATGATCTTCTGTGAATGTCATGAGACAGCTCCAGAGCTCTGCGTTCAGCATCCTGCAGGCAGGTACCAGGATGGAAATACAATGAGGATGCTTATGGCAGCAGCTGGGCTAAAACAGCTCCCAAAAGCATTGGGTTTAGTGAATGTTATTGGATGAGAAAGGGAAGAAATCTCTGCTTTTCTTCTGCCAATCACATGTTTTGTTTAAATGGACAAATTCTGTTCTTGTGGGTAGATGATATGGGGGAAAGCATTTCAAGACAGAACCAATGTAAATAACTCAGTTATCTGAAAAGAAATTAGATATCTGTAACTACAAGAAAATGCAGGTCCTAA